GTCGGCTCCGGTAAGAGTTCGCTATTGTCTGCACTGTTGGGAGAGATGGAGTGTGTGAGCGGTCGAGTGAACATCAGGTGCGGCGCAAACATAGCATATGTGCCACAACTGGCGTGGATTCAAAACGCGACCCTTAAGGACAACATAGTGTTTGGCCATCCATTGGATGCCAAGCTATACAACCGAGTGCTGAAGGCCTGTGCCCTCAAACAGGATCTGTTGACTCTATCGGCCGGAGACCAGACAGAGATCGGAGAGAAAGGCATTAATTTGAGTGGCGGTCAGAAACAGAGGGTTAGTTTAGCCCGAGCTGTCTATAGCGACGCCGACCTCTACCTACTCGACGACCCCCTCTCTGCCGGTATGTCATTGAATGGGTGTTCAAATGTGAACTCAATCTAACCCCTCATCTCTACCCCAACCCCTCAGTGGACAGTCACGTGGGAAAGCATATTATGGACGAAGTGTTGGACTCAAAGACAGGACTCCTGAGGAATAAAACGCGTATTTTAGTGACGAATCAATTGTTTGTTTTACCGAATGTTGATCTCATTGTTGTCCTAAAAGAGGGCAAAATCGGGTCAATCGGTACTTACGAGCAGTTAATGTCACAAAAGGGAGACTTTGTTGAACTCATCCGACAAATAGTGACCGACAAGACTGACGGCGACGACGACGAGGAGGCGAAGGCACTCATCAGACGCCGCACCACAACATCGACCGGACCCACAATACCGAGTTGAACTCATCCGACAAATAGTGACCGACAAGACTGACGGCGACGACGACGAGGAGGCGGCGGCACTCATCAGACGCCGCACCACAACATCGACCGGACCCACAATACCGACGCCCACACCAGTCGGAGCTGAGAAGAAGGATATACTGGTTGCGGCCGAATCGGTAGAGACGGGTGACGTTAAGCTCGCCGTATACGCCAAATACGGTCGAGCGATGACCCCGTTGTGGACGGCATTAATTATTTTCAGTTATATGGCCTTCAATGCCGTGAACTCGGGCTCAAACTTTTGGCTCAACGCGTGGAGCGCTGAGTCGAGCGCCGACCGGAACGGCTACTACTTAGGCATTTACGCCCTCTTCGGCGTAATGCAAGTCTGTGTGGTGTGTATGGGCTGGACATCCATTATAACGGGCACTCTATGCGCCTCTAAGAACCTTCACGAGCGGCTATTGAGGGCCACACTTCACGCACCCATGAGTTTCTTCGACACGACACCATTGGGTCGGGTATTGAATCGGTTCAGTAAAGACATCGATATAATGGACTCGTCGATGCAGATGACCATGAGGTTTGAGCTTTGTTAACTTATTTTAAATAGATTTAATATTCTTTATTATAGGCCATAATATTATGTTTTATAACATTAGGGTATTAGTGAACACGAGTTTTCAAGTGTTGTCCACAATTGTGATTATATCGATACAAACGCCTATATTTTTGGCCGTATTCTTCCCGGTTATGATTGTCTACTATTTTATTCAGGTTTTCATATCAATTATTTCTGATCAAAAATTCAAACCTAATGTTATTTTACTTCATATTTAATTACAACAAAAATTTATCAGAAGTTTTATGTCGTGACGTCTCGACAGTTAAAAAGGTTTGTAAATAAAAGACACCTTTTATATAAAACTTGTTTTTAATTTTTACTTACATTTAAACACTCGCTTACCGTAGACTGGAATCGATAACCCGATCGCCAATATATTCACACTTCGGGGAAACGGTTAATGGCGTGTCCACTATCAGGGCGTACGGCGTTAATGACCGGTTCATACGGGAGTCCGACGCCCGGGTAGACAGAAATCAGATGTGTTATTATCCCAACGCTATCGCCAACTGTTGGCTTCAGGTGCGGCTCGAAGTGTTGGCCAATTGTCTTATATTTTTTGCGGCACTGTTTGCCGTACTGTCCAAGGGGTCAATGAACCCAGGTGAAATTGGATTATCCATATCGTATGCAATGAATATTACTTTGGCGTTGAATGCATGCGTCCGTATGTTTGCTGAGATGGAGAACAATGTGGTGGCCGTCGAGAGGGTTGACGAGTACTGTGGGGTCGAGTCTGAGGCCGAGTGGTATTCGGGTCAGAAGATACCCGACAACTGGCCAAACAAGGGATAAACAGGAGAAGATTTTGAATCAATTCAATCAATACAAGACACGTATTAATGGCATTGATATTCACTTCATTCACGTTAAGCCATCAAAACCGGCCAAAACTGTTATCCCACTTATGGTATGTATTGAAGGCCTTTTAATTGTGTATTTATAGCGTTATTAGTATAATAATTATTATCATTGGCTTACAGGTGATCCACGGATGGCCCGGATCTGTTTGGGAGTATTACAAGTCTATACCACTGCTGATTGAACCGACCAATGATGTGGCCTTTGAAGTGATCTGTCCGTCAATACCCGGCTATGGTTTCTCAGAGGCCCCGCATCAGCCGGGTTTGCATTATTACACTAATAATTATTATAATTAATGTCATACTATAATTTCATTCTAGTATTAATATATTTAGATTAATAATAGTATTTATAATTATTAACAGTAAAACAATGTTTGACCATGATCGTTTTACATACAATAGGTTTCGATGTAAGTCAAACGGCCCGCATATTTGTCAAACTGATGGAGCGGTTAAATCACCGGAGATTTTTTGTTCACGGAGGCGATTGGGGGTTTGCCATCTCTCAAGCCATGGCCAAAATATACCCGGAAAAGTACGTTCATAAAATATATGTAATATTTATTGTAACACTAATAGCTATATTACAATTTTAATACAGTATCCGTGGTGTGCATGTATCAATGTCTGGTGTACTCAATATGAGGGGAATACAATGGTTTAAGTTCTTGGTCGGAATGTACGCCCCGGGGCTTGTGTTTGACAACCCGAAAGCCGATTACGCCAAACACTATCCCTTTTTAGACAAGTTATCATGGTCCATAAGAGAGGCGGGATATATGCACCTTCAGGCTACTAAACCGGATACAGTGGGCGCCGCACTCGTCGACAGTCCCGTCGGTTTGGCCGCATATATACTGGAAAAGTTCTCGACGTGGACTGACCCGGATAATGTGGGCAAAGCGGATGGTGGGCTGACCCAAAAGTTTACCCTGGACGAGTTGTTGACAAACATAATGATCTATTGGACATCAAATAACGTGGCGTCGAGTATGCGTTTCTATAAGGAGGGTTTTGTCAACTTTATAGTCGATCAGTTCAGTATAACATATATTTACAACTGGACTCTCAATAATATAAAGTTTGTTTTACATTTCATTATCATAGAAGACCGGTGTCGGAGTCGGTGCCGGCGGCTGTGGCCGACTTTCCCAACGAGATAGCCCGCGGCTCGCGAGCCATTAACGCCCATCAGTACCGCAATTTGGTTCAGTACACAGAGATGGCCAGAGGGGGACATTTCGGAGCCTTTGAAGAGCCCCGACTCATGTCCGACGATATCAAGTCATTTGCCCGAAAGGTATTGGATTTGGAGGCCATCGAGAAGTCTAAACAGAAGACTACGAAATAATTGATTTGATTAGCGTTTTGTGTTGTAATTAATTCTGATTTCTCAATATTGAGATATTATTATGGTAATTAATACAATTTGTTGTGTTTCTGAATTTTGTAACTTGTATTTTGATTTTTAAAATTACTTAGTTTGTTGTTGAATTATTGAGATAACATTAACAAGAAATATATTTGTTGTTGCTAGTTTTGTAGTTATTATTCACTTGAAATTGATTATCTATTATTAATATTTATTATTAAAATTTTTAATTTAAAATATAGCATTGAAATTACAAAATTTCTAAATATCCACCAAAAATTGAAAGTAATTTTTATTAATTAAACAAAACTAACTATATTTTTGCGATGAACTGGAAATACCGGATAATCACTTAAATCCATACACTTTTTAAATAAGTATTTGACACTAATTTCTAATAAAAACATGTTTTCTGTAAATAATTTAAATTTCAAAAATTGTGTTAAAATTATTCAATAAATAGATTAAAAAGTGCTTAAAATAAACTAAAATAAAAAACTATTTAATATTAAGAATAGTAAACACTTTTTGAAATATACAGTGAAAATACATACCATATATGAAAACATAGCATAAATACCCACAGTCAGTACACGTGAAAAATTGTAAACCCGTTATAATATAATGTTTAAGCATTTATTTAATTATAAAATTCATAACATATTTACACATAAAATATTTACTTTGAAAACAAAAACTCCATTAAAAAAACTAAACCAATAGCTAAACAACACAACAAATATTTTACTATTAAAAAAGTGAAAAATTAAATACTCAAAAAGTGTCACCAAGTTTATAAAATATGAATTTTATAAAAGTGATCATGCTCGCATGTTTGGCACAGGTGTGCGCCGGGTGTTCGTGTCAGCACCAAAACATCAGTCAATATTACTGTTCATCGGAATTCATGGTAAAACTCAATGTGACAAAAGGCAAACAAACCGATGGCCGCGACGTCTGGTATGGTATGGATGTGTTGGATGTGATCAAAGGTGGCGGCGATCCGGCGGTGAACACAACCCTCCGGTCGGGCAAACTCTACAGTCGAGGCCAGAGTTCGCTGTGCGGTGTTACACGGCTGTCGGCGCCCGAAGTGTACGTAATCTCCGGCACCGTTAGGACCAAGTCTTCGGAGGCCATACTCTGGACCACTACCTGTGAGTTCGTCAGGAAATGGTCGCAATTGAATGAAAATGAAATCAATTTCATCACTACTCAGCACAAGACCGCCATTTGTCGCAAAGATATTAAATGATGATTGTTGTTTCTATAAATATTACTGTATATTACCATCATCATTATTGAATATTTAATTTCATATCAAAATACTGTTTGTAAAGTATTTTGTACAATTTTAAATTCACAATTGTATTAATAAAACATAATTTATGTAATTTAATGTTACAAATATATGGCAACTTTAATTATCGCATTAATTGCTTGGGTTTATTTAATAATGTTTACATTACAATATATAATTATATTAATTCGTATCACGTTAATTTAATTAGAATAAGAATGAAAGTTATTAAATGAAAATTAAAGACACATAATAATAATATAAAATGCAATTAATAAATAATATTTATTTTGTATTTATGTAATTAAACGTAAAATTAATTATCCCCTGACACTCACTTCTAACTTACAAATCTATACCCTCTGTCACTATACAAGTCCGGCATCCCTGGCGAGTGAGTGGAAAATAGAGTTGGTATCCCTGAGCAACACTTCCGGTGCGTCAAACTCTGCTACGCGTCCGTCGTTGAGGACGAGTACGCGGTCGGAGTCCATGATTGTGTGGATCCGATGGGCGATCGTTAATACTGTGCAGCGACTGAACTTCGATCGTATGGTTGTCTGTATTAAAGCGTCGGTCTCTAAGTCGACGGCAGCCGTCGCCTCATCCAGAATGAGGACACATGTCCTCCGCAACAGTGCTCTCGACAGACATATCAGTTGTCTTTGACCCACACTTTACACATCAAATGCAACAATCATTTTATATACAATCACTTTATAATCATTTTGCAAATGTATTGAATTTACCTCAAATTCTCGCCGCCTTCCGACACCTTATAGTCGAGGCCCGCATCGCATGACTTAACAAAGTCTTTGAGATGTGAGTCCTCTAAAGCCGTCCACAACTCTTCGTCCGAAGACTTCACAAACGGATCCAAATTCTCGCGAATGGTTCCCGAGAAGAGCACCGGATCCTGAGGTATGATTGTTAGCCGCGATCTCAACTCCTGTTTAGTTTAAATGTAAGTCAAAATTATAAATAAGTTTTTTCTTTACATTACTTGTAGTCCTAATTGATTGATATCAATGCCATCGATAGTTATTCTGCCAAATGAGGCCTCAATTAGTCTAAACAACGCCAGAGTTAGGGATGACTTTCCCGCACCCGTCCGACCGACTATT